AAGTAAACTTTACAATTTGTTTTGTTTAATTTTAACCAAATATACAATAACGATTACCACAGACACAATCATCACTTATCACTATTGCTATCACAATTATCATTATTATTATCGCAAGTATTATTCATCCTAAGCAAACATTTATGCAGTAACTTCTCATTTGTGTACATTCTTTCTGATTAATACTTTTCTTTCCTCAGAATTTTATTGCTACAAACATTACGTAACGTTTACGGCATAATTTTGTCATTTCATGCTTGCAATGCGCTTTTCGTTCATCTTATACGCCTTTTTTTACTGCTTCATATCGCCTTTGTCAGGTACTTAACTTTTCTTCAACAATTTTGTCATCTGATTTTAAGTATTTGATTACAATAGTATTTGATTAGTATTTAAATTGGAGTATTTGATTCAAATCAGGCTAAAAACTGAATGCATCACCTCGTTGACTGAACCAAAACGCTAAAGTTTTAATTATTGTTATTAATCTAATAATATGTTTTTAGAAAATTAGCAATTTAGTTTTCATTATTTGGTCTACAAGTGTAATGTCATGATGACTTGAAAAATTAAGTTGTATGGGAATGAGATTCAGCGTTCTCATTTTATCGTTATTGTATGTAAAGAAGAATAATTTCTGCCAAGAGGTCAAGTTTGTGAGAATATTTATGCTCTAATTAACTTAATAATCTAATAATTTACAATTTTTCAGTACAATCTGGGCTTCTCACTTTTATTATAATTTTGCTAGAAACTACAACAATTTTCAGCCCTCACGTGCAATATTCAGAACTCAGTCGTGAAAGATCCTATGGTAGAGAACTGCTCTTTGTCTGTTTCTGACTGTTTCACGTTCACGTGCAAAAATCTCAATTGTAAGTCATATTTGTAATTTCACTTATTATGTAAATAATGGTTTCCTTTTTTTTCTTTTTCTAACCCATATTTTTTTTGTCGTTAGTAATAATTATCACATCTCTTATCATAGATCTTGCCTGTATTAATAATCAAGGAATGCACTATTTTAAATATTTAAGTTTCTAATGACCTAAGAAACGTGAGAGCATGTTTTAAATTTGTAATGGCTAAGCTTCAAATCACGAATGTTGACACTTAGAGAAATGTATTTTATATAAACTTTGCAAACTTTGGCACTGTCTAAATTTTTTGAAAATTGTTGTAAGTTTTTGAAAAGTTGTATTTCAGCTGAAACTACTACTAAGGGCTGCAACGATTATGCAAGTATCTTGTGGAACTGTCAGGCATTAGAGACAGCTTGCAAGCGGAATGGTGGAGATGCTCAATGCATCACGTGTGTAAACGACGTGTGTAATAGTGCAAGTATCACTTATATCTCTGCAATGTTTATTTTGTCAGTTTTATATGGTGTATACTTGGCAAGTTTTTGAAAATCGTGATGTTTGTGTATGTAAAATTGTAAGTGTGAAGTATTATTTGTCATATTAGAAGTTTATTCAGAATAAAAAATCAGAAACTGTAATAAAAGAAAACTTTTTTCATATTTTTGTTTGTTTAAAAATCAAACTTTTTAGAAGAAAACATGATGTCATATGAAGATTATTACTTTTTGCCTCACATCAAGTTTGATTCTGATGCATTGATTAGATAATCATGAAAATACGTGAAGTGACCGAAAGATCTTTTGAATAGTGCTCAGTTTAAGAAATAAAAAAAGAAATTAAAAATCTGATATTGCTGCTTTTTTCTTGAAATTAATTTATTCACTGGCTAATCACTTATTATATCTGTGTTGTTTCTATTTTCTTGCTATTTGAATTTCTGCAAAATTAAAAAAGTGGCGGGTCTTTTCCAATGTTTCAAGCTAAAAAAAATATGTCATTGTGCTGGTTACAAAGTCTTATTACAGTATTTCAGAATTGTTAATTCATTTGGTTAGTAAACTGTTACAGGAGTATGATCAAAATTATGATCAACTCGATACAAATGAAATAAATATACAACAGAAAAATAAAGTAAATTGTCAAACGTCATTTACGCAGAATTATTAAACTTTTCTTCTGCGTGTTCTTCACAGCTAGGTCATAGTAAAGTTACATGAGAGGTTCTGACAGGTATTGTACAATTTTTTCTTCTTCCAAGTGTAGAAGGAGAATATTCTCTTCAACGTTTTAAAGAAATAATTGTCATTTCAGTCTAATATAAAATGTTGAGATTATTCACTGAATTTTGGATGTAAGCAAAATAATCTTCAAAAATATCTAAAAATCACTTTTAGCCA